AAAACATCCTCGGAGTCGTCATATACGTCGACGACTCCCAAGCATCTGCCGAATGCTTTGGTACCCTGTCAGCCCTTGCGGGCGCCCCGGGTCCTGACAGAGGTGGGAACATGACTCACCAATGCTCTGTCGGACTGCGTAGGGCGGCTGGCACCGATTTCCTTGCCTCGCCAGTCGATCCAGGGCTTGTGCTTCTCAAGCGAGGGCATGCCCATGATCATATCATATGGATCCATATCGAGAACAGTGAACTGTTCGAGGCTGTCAAAGTCTTCAAACTTGACGGCCAGATCCACTTGGACATTGGGGACAGTGACGACCTTCCCGTCGGCCAGTCGCACTGACACCGTCCCGTTGCCCTTGCTTTCTTTCGAGGCATCGGACAACTTGTTGCTATTACGAGCAATTGTCTGGCGGCGTGCGAAATTCTTCGATGCCCCGGAATCGATCAAGATTCTAAGGGATGGATCGTATCCCCGTACACGACCGTGTACTACGAGCAACCCGCCGCTGCTCTTCGCCGATTCGAGAGTGCGAAGACTCTCAGGGTCTAAATCCTCGTGGTACGCGCCACCCGCGCACCCATCACGAAGACTTAAGTTCTTCCCCAGTAGGGCGCCCCGCCCCTATTGGTTTCCGGCATTCCCCTGTCCCCGGGATCCTGGCTTCTGCCAGCGACCCTTGAGGACGGGCTTGGGGAAAGACCGTCTGCGGAGTCTTTCCGCGGGACAGTCGCGCTTGAAGTGGTCCATCTTCCCGCAGCCGAAGCAGCGGATGTCACGCTGTTTGGCAGACCCGAGTTCCATGGGAACTGGTCCGTTGGGGCTCGTTCGACCGGGGGTCGACATGGAGCTCCCAGGCCACGCTGAGGTCGGCGTACGCGCCTGGTGATGGCGGTACTCTTCCTGAAGGGCCACTTGAATCGCCTCTTCAAGGGTGTTTGACTACACCCGGAACAGCTGAGTGCGTGCGGGACCCACTCGAAGGCCGTTCATAAACACAGTCATCTTGATGTGTTCGCTGAGTGGGCTTCCCACTAGGGACGCCGTGAGCTCCCGTATCTCTTACACGTACTCGTGCAGTTCACGCCTTACTTGTTTGCACGAGAGGAAGCGCGAACGCTGGTGGTACTCGTAGTTCGCCGGGAGGAACGCGGCTCGGAGCTGTTCACACAGCTGAGCCCAGGATGTGAAACATCCAGGGGATGTTGCTTCCCGTGTATAGACCCAACGCTTAGCACGGCCGCTAAGGTTGGAGAGTGCAAAAGCAACACGAAGTTGCTCGGTATAGATCAGAGCCACGTCCATCGCGTGCTCTACTTCTCGGACCGAGAAGTGAAGGTTCTCGCCTTCCTTCCCTTCATACGGCTTAACCTTCAGTCGTATTGGCTTCGGGTGAGGCGGATTTGCTTCCGCCGCCGGAGCCACCAGGCTCTGCGCGATGAGGCCCTGCTCGTACGCGTCAAACGCATTGACGCGCTCGAGCTGCTCGGCCGGTGTTGACGCCACCAGGCTCTACAGGGCCTCCATCCCGAAGATGCCTGCCATCTTCCGAACCGAGTCGAACTGAGAGTCGTTCATATGGGAGAAGTCGTTCCTGTCCATGGCAACGAACTTCGGAGAGGTTCAGGTAGTCTACCCGCGGTGGCGTGGATTGACTACAAGTGCTACCAAGTGTGACGGGGTCACACAGCACCTTGCGCTAGAGGAAGTTAGCTTCCGAGAGTTTACAAACTCTCAGTGAGCGGCAGTTCACAGGTCCCCTCTTTATTCAAAAGAGAGCGAAGTGACCTAATTAAGGTAGAATGTAAACTGAGTATATTTATAGGTAGATAAAGCTTGGGTTTAATACAAACTATAAGTCACCTATAGAAATGCAATGTCATCAACCAATGGTTGGCTTTGGACGACCTCGGTACCTAGTACCAAATATCCCGAAGTATGACGTGTCATACTTCTGGAGTGTGACGTGTCACACTTCATGTAACCAGAGTACACTTAGGGCTACGTACCCCGTTACAGAGATGGAAAACTGCAAACGGTTGCAGTTGTTTAATGCCGATAGAGCGAAATCAAGGAATTTGTTCTTGTTCTCTACCGATAACCTCGTCCACATCGTGCGTCTAATAAACCTGCAGCCTGTAACGCTAGATTAATGCGCTCAGTAGTGCCAACACACGACGCCAACCTTGCCGTCACTCTCACAATTGTTCCGAGCCTCACGGTTGATTAGTAATACTTCTGCTAGTCGAACGCTAACGACATCGGGTTGGTTGATTAATCCAGATTACGCAATCGTTGAAAAAATAAAATCGTATTAACTAATATTAAGCTGATATTTAATAATATCATTTGTCCCAGAGGAAATATTAGGTGATATTTTTTTAAGATTAACTGGTCTACAGGTGATTTTTTTACAATATTAGCTTCACCGATTTTGAAGTTACCATTAGTCCTTGCTCATGGGCTTCGTCTTGTCCGCCGCCAACGACACGTTGGTCGTGATCACCGTGTTCGCCGGGTGGTCGTATAGCTTGTACGGTCGTTATTAAATGCAATTTTTTGAAGGTCGTTGAGCAGTGCTACCAGTGGAAAGATACGACGTCTTTACAACGGACATGTTTAAACAGTGTCTAAAGTGTCCATTGTCTTTTGAAGGAACAAACAGACGACCGTTCAAAAGGTACAGGTACAATGTACTATTTACTACTGTCAGCGACCGAATAGTGGGCTCTGCGTGCAGACAAGTAATCAGTATGAGCAATTTGCCGATTAGTGGACTGCATGCTAATCAATTCAAGTCAAAACCGCGCCCGTAGGTCAGGGGTTAATGGTAGCTCCAAAATCAGTGAAGTTAATAATGTGAAAATATTACCTGTAGACCAGCTAATATAAAAATATCACCTAATATTTTCTTCTGAGACAATATGATATTATTAAATATCAACTTAATATTAGCTAATACTATATTATATTTTTCAAAGATTGCGTAATCGGTATAAATTCACCAATCAGATGTCGGAAACGCTCGACTAGCTGAAGTATTACTATGAGGGAGGGACAATTGTGAGAGTGACGGCAAGGGTTGGCGTCGTGTGTTGGCACTGCTGAGCGCATTAATCTAGCGCCACAGGCAGCAGAACAAGAACAAAAGTCTTGATTTCGCTCTATCAACGTTAAACAGCTGCAGGCGTTTGCAGTTTTCCATCTCGATCGCCTTTGTCGGTGTCACAGTGAAATACTAGAGCAAATACTCGTCATTTTTAAAGCCTACTGCTTTTCTAGAACCTGATCGAAAAAGTTATTTGGCTCCGCTCGGTTCACAGAGGGGAAGCTGGCAAGAAACGTACTTAAGTGGGAAAATATCATAAAATATCATGTAGTATCTAATATTTTTCAGTTCTCCGAGTTAATACTAGAATATTATGTTAACTTTTGCAAAAATGAGTTACTATTACTATTTGATATCGAAAATAGTACTATTACTATCAAAAATAATATATGATATTTGGTTACCGTTAGCCGTGTCTTTTGAGTGTGTAAAAAGTCCGGTAAAAAATGTTCAAACAAACGAATGTCTTAAACGTTCTTTGAACGGACGTCACTACCAGCACTGCGTTGAGATTTTTAAGTTGCAAAATTTCGCATCTTGAACGATGCCGTACAGCGAGAAACGATGGAATCTGGGGCAGAATGACCACAAGACGAAGAACCAAGATGCCCCACGAACTTCGTCCGCGTTTTTTGAGGTGGTGAAGATTGTGCATCCAGAGCTGTCGCTGTTCATGAGACCTAAAGATGTTTGCAGCCTCCTTCTTGCCTGCTCCCGACATCTTCAACAAAATATCCGTGATGTTATCGCTACCGAGGCTCTCCTGTACTACTGTACTACCAGTTTGATAGCGTTCACTTTGGAGAAAAGTGCTTAGGAAATTACCATCAGTTGGTCCCGCAGTCTACGCGTGGAGCACGTGGTCCTTGCGCATGCAACTTCGAACCTGGAAATAGGTGAGGAGAATGTACCAGACGAGCTACCACTCCCCAGTATGTTTGACGCCCGAACAAAGCTACTCCAAGCCATGTGTTTACTCTATGAAGGAATTGAGCCGCACTGCTTCAAAGTGCTGCAAGTGGTGCAAGGAACCGATTTTTGGCCTGCAACGATGCAACCGGTGGTGTTTTCACTTGCTGAAGGGCTCGAGAAGGAGTGCAGCGGAGACAACGGAATCACAGCGAGGAACAAATATCGACTCGGATAATGTTGCAAGCCTAATGCGACTTATGAGCATTGTTGAGCCAGAATTTGGCTCGGTTTTTTTCAGCTCGAAAGATACCGATTGTCACCCGATTCATGTCTTTGAAGAAGCTCACTGGGACGGGATCGAGGTGGATCCGAGCCATGGAATAACTTCCTGTCAGTTCTGCGTTGTCCGAAATCCAGGCGAAACGACTGCTGATACTGAAAAGATGATGCGACTCCACTGCGCAGCCGTGTACCAACCCATGAAGAAGTTTATGCTTCGCGCATCTGAAGCACGTCCGGTACGTGCGCCCTCCTCCTGGGTGGAATCAACGCTGTCCTGGCGGAGGACGCCTCATAGGGCTAGTCGCTGAGATCACCCCGACTGGCGTGCTCTGTGGTGTGTACGTGACAAATGTCGGCACTCCGCGGCAGTGGATAGAGCATTGTTTAGCTCCTGGGCATTTTACGGTCGGACAACTGGTGGACGTTGCCTCGGGTAACACGTAGCAGATGCTGAAATAGATATTTTGAGCTACAGTGCATGAATTTCTGATGTATTGAATCGTAGGGAGCGTGAGTGGTACCGGTATTATACTGAACACTTACTTACCGGTTCGCAAAATGTCAATGTGCGTTTGCACAATACATGTACAGTACAGGTTCGAATGTAAGCCAAATAATCGTACCTAATCGAGTGCGAAACTTCCTGTGGTGCTTCAGTCTCCTTGTCCGCCTTTTGATTGAACACGTCAGTGTCGGTAGCAACAATAATGACCACGATGGAGTTGAGCACTTTGCTGGCCAAACTGACGCGCCGCGAGGACCTGACGGACGCGGAGGCCACTTTTGCCGTGCAGCAGGTTGCGTCCGAGAAGGCGTCCGAGAATCCTGTGGCCGTGGGCGTTTTATTGGCGCTGCTATCAGCCAAAGGCGAAAGCGCCGCCGAAGTTGCGGCTTTCGCGAAGCACATGCGCTCGGAGGCTGTTAACGTGCACGTTTCGGTGCGTTCTGTTTCTGTCTGGGAGGTCTAGAGGTTTGTGCTGCATTGACTGACGTTCATTTGCTACTACCACCACAGTCAGGACGTCCGACACTCGACATCGTAGGAACAGGTGGCGACGGCGCCAACACTGTTAACCTAAGCACAGCTGCCGCCGTACTGGCCGCTTCTTGCGGAGCCCTGGTGGCCAAGCACGGCAACCGCTCGGTGTCTAGCCGTTCCGGCTCGGCCGACGTGCTGGAGGAGCTGGGCGTGCCTATGCTCAAGCCTCACAATGTGGGTCCGTGTCTTGAGGAGGCTCAAATCGCCTTCATGTTCGCGCCGCACTTCCACCCTGCCATGCGCTATGTGGCACCTGTACGTAAGGCCATTGGCATCCGCAGCGTGTTCAATATCCTCGGTCCGCTGCTGAACCCGGCGGGGTGCAAGCGCGTGGTCATTGGCGTCTACACGCCCAAGCTGCTCGATGTTTTCGGTGAGGTGTTGCTGGCCCTGGGCGTGGATCACGGACTCGTCTTGCACTGTGCTGGACTGGACGAGCTTAACTCGATGGGTCCAGCTGAGGTCGTAGAGGTTCATCGGGATGCTGAGAAGCCGTTCCGTCGCTACCAGCTTCGTCCCGAGGACGTGGGCGTACAAGTAGTGACGTTGGAACAACTGAAGGGAGGAGACGCCACCGAGAACGCCGCCATTCTGCGCAAGGTGTTTTCTGGCGGTGTATTCAGCGAGTGTCCTGTAGGCAACACGATCGCCTACAACGCCGGCGCAGGTCTGTACGTGTACGGCCTGGCCGACAGCATCAAGAGCGGCTACGAGATGGCCAAGAAGCAGCTCTCATCGGGAAAAGCTTTGGATACACTCGACAAGTGGGCACAAGTAGCACAGCGGTTGCACGCCGAGCCCCAACTGTGAACGTTTGATGTCCAGCACAATCAGATAGGTGCTAAAAAGCCTCCGTAGATGCTCCAGACCCGACAAGATTAGCATGAACATCGACCGAGTGTAAAAATAAGAGGCTATTTGCTTGTGACGTTGACCCCGACTCATCCAAATCGAGGATTGCAGCCTCACTGCGTCACAGCATGGACCACGATCAAGTTGGCGACGTGTCGAACTCGAGCGATGCGGTAGCGTCCACTGCTCACTATGCATATGCTCGACAGCTCGTGCAGGCGTACTTTGCCATGCTAACTGTAGGTTGTCAACGTGATATTTGTCCAAACTCGAACTGCTGCTCCAATCCACACACACGAGCTCTTACAGCGACCGAGGCTGCAATCAAGAGCATTTACTTCGCTACGACAACTCCGGTGTCGCTGTGCATTGAGATCGCGCCGGGACAACAACATGAGGGGGTCGTATCATCGACGTCTGAGCTTCCACTGCAAAAGGAGATCAAGATAACTGCAACGCCAGAACCCCGAGAAATGGAACAAGAGGACAACCAACTTGAAGACACTGTGCTTCCTTTTACTGGAGATAATAAGCAAGATCTTCATCCAGAAACACCCGACGATGTGCCAAAGATCCAAGCGCTTCAAAATGACACAGCCCCGGCAACTCCTACGACCTCGAGTCCTCCTAAATCGACCCCACGGCGACGGCTTTCGGTTGCGGTGCAGCTGGACAGTGGGCTCAACAAGAACCGCGACCTTCAAGTTAAAAGACCCACTGTCATCACCCGCGTCGCTGTCCAGCCCAAGCACAAACCAGACATCGATCCCACCGTCAGTGTCTCGGAAGCTGACACGTCAAGTGTTGCTGAGCAGCAACAACAGCATGAAAAAGTAGCAGCGAAGCCTGCGAAAGGTGCGAGGCAACGACTGCTGAGTCGACCGAAGCAGAAGTTGTTCGATGCCATCAAGCGAAGCTTCTCGCGCTCCAAGAAGGCCTCGCACGGATCAACATAGGCACCCAACAACCTAGCATGTCAACTGCTCGTAACAGAACCGACTTTCAAAAGTAAGATACCTAACTTCATTCTTCCCCCTCGTGTATCTATTCTCCGTCGTCTTCTCCAATATCTTACACTGCTGCTTCCCAAAAATCATACTTAAATCCCCTGGATGGGTACATCATCCGGCATTGCGTTGTCGGCCATAGGCACAGCACCTTGAATGGGCTGTGGGTGCCAAGCCGGCACCAGCGACAACAGCAACCCCACCACGAAGTACTTGACGTCCTGAACGAAGCCACGGTCAGCCGAAATACGCAGCACACGCGTCAACATGCTGTATCGGGAAGCGATTGCCGCTCCAGCCGCCGCCGCCGCTCCAGGCGCATTGGGGTCTGCTGGGGCGTTCGGTTCAACGTCTCTGTTGACACTGCGGCGTCGGTTGTACACCTCGTAGAGTTTGGCAAAGATGCCGGTAATGTGCAGATACGAGATGAAGGACAGAAGGCCCAGCATGAGGATGCGGTCCATGGGCGTGTCCTGGCCGATGATAAACAGCATGAATGCCATCTTGAGCGCCATACGGAAGTCCAGCAGCGGGAACACTCCGCGCGCCATCTCCACGAGCATCGGACGGTCCAGCGGCTCCATTGGCGCCGGTGCTTGAGCGGGCGCTGGAATCACAGGTGTCGGCGCTGCTGCATGCGGTGCAACATTCGGTCTGGCCTGTGCGTGGAACATCTGGGGTTGCATCATACCGTAGAAATTGGCATAGGGCGCGTTAAAGTGGCTAAACGCGGTATCGGGCGCTGGTGCTGCTTGCTGTTGTCGCTGCTGCATAAGCATCATCTGCAGGTACTGGATCTGCTGCATCACCATGGCTTGCTGCTGCATGAGCACGCTCTGTCTGTACAAATTCTGCTGTTGCTGCGTCATGACGGGCGTCTGACCGAACATGAACTGCGGCTGTGCAGGCGCTGACGTCTCTGGCTGCGTGTTGAAGCTTTGGGGTTCTGCGGCTGTGTTGCTACTGGGTCTGGGCGAGTCCTGCGCCTCTAACTCCTGTCGCTGTAGCGTCTTAAGCTCTGCGCTCTTCCGGACGCCTGTGGAGCTCACCAACAAGTGAAAAACGACGGGTTCACCACTGCTATCTCCAACGTTGCTGTGACTGCTCTGCATTTGCGCCAGAATCAGCTCCAACGGCTCGTCGTCGCCGCATATTTTGCCTCCGAAAATGAGTTTCTGTGCGGAAACGGCGGGCGAGGATGGGAATTCAACGCTGAGGCGACGCTTGAGCTCTCCCACGAGCGTCTCTGAACCGACCGTGAGCGCCAGCGACTGAGATGGAGTATACACGTTGCGCACCACGAGGTTCACGAGCGACGGTGAAGCAGGAGGAGAGTCCATGGCGACGTTGACTGAGCTGCTCGGGCTTGAAGCAAGAATGAAGACAGAGGCGCCACGCGGCGACGCGGTGAGCAAGCGGATTGGTGTAAAATATAAAAGATGTTTCTGCCAATCGCTAGAGAAAAGCACCAGAAAAACCAATGTTCTAAAATACTTTCAAAAACTATTTATTTATTTTTAAAAACATTAAAATGTGGGGGGCACCGATTTAGTGTCGCTCTACTCTAGAGCCCCCTGGCCTGCACTAGACTGCCTAAGTCCAGTCTCCTGGACATAAAAGCTAAAATCTCGCGTACCCATGTTGAACCACACGACGTGCCTCTTTGCAGCCCCGCAGCTCTTTAAGCTGCCTGTCATTCCAGTAAAAGGGTAGATCTACGCACTGCCAATTCAAACAGCACCACAGCCTAGGGCACGCCCATTCCAACGGGGACGTATGCTCCACACGCATGACGACCCCCCCCCTCTGACATGCATGTGCCGTAGGCTGTGAAAAAGGTGATATTTGAATTGGCAATTCCATCAGCATCAATGTCAGCTTCAAGACAAGCGTCCAATAGCTCTGATTATCGCTGTGGACTCCCCACGCGCAGCTGCACGGCGTTGAGCAGGTGTCTGCTGAAGGCTTTTAATTGAGTGGATTCCATTGGCACTTTGATTGCTGTGGAAATAAACAACTACTCCAGGGCCAGCAGAGGCGATAAAAGGCGTGACCTCACCAAGCACAACGACGACCGTCACGAGGTCATGCAAACGACAAGGTACCTTTTCATGACATGCGCGTGTATCTGCGCTAACCGCATGCGCTGCTCAGCGAGCGCATACTGATCCAGACTGACATTATTACTGGAGCACTGCTCAGCATGCTTCATCGTATGCAACTTGAACCAACCCGCGAGTCTCACGCTCAATTTACGCAGAAGTACCACATGGTGGATCGGGTCTAAACATCATGCGCTGAAGCACGCGTGCTTCACACACATTCGAATGGAAAAGCGGTGCGCTACACCTTTCATGTTGTGGTTGCACTTCGCTGTCTACTGCGTTGAGTACCTAAAACGAGGTACACGTCAAACGCGTGTGCTGCAGCTAAAGTGACAGAAATGACGCAATCGGATGGGCAGATCACTTGGGGTCCTGGATCGCGATTGAACGATGACTTCAGCTTGGGCTACCACGGGATTGCAGTGGGCAGATAGGTGTGACATATGATGTTATTGTTGCATACAATGTGACCGTATGGTATGCACTAGCGGAGCGCTGCTGTGGTGTAGCGATTTCTCCGTAGTTGCGGATTATCACCCGTCGACAAAGACGTGACACCGCCCAAGATGTTCAAGCGACGAACCCTCGGTCATGTGATGTACGGAGACGCCAAGGTGCAAGGGACTCGACGGCGTCACCTCCGAACGTTCAACGGATATTGGATACAGTCCATTTGTCACTAAATCCAGGCTGTCCTTATTATTAATAATGGACTGGCCGGATTCGCATTCAGCGGACCATCTACGGTACGAACCCTCGGTGGCGGTTGGGATGAGTTCGCGGAAGACTCAGCGACCCTTTGGAAGCACGTTCACCGTCTGAGACAGGGCGCGGACCGTTAAAGATACTCATGCGACGGTGCAGACAAGGCTTGGCGTGCAAGAAGATCCATAACGGATTATTGTTCACTTGATATTTGTATTCTTGATTAGGACTTCTTATTAGGAATAGACCCGAAAGGGTAAGCTTAAATACAGAACAGAATTTCCACTCAAACACACAGAGCGACGTCCGGCTTCAAGGTAAGCGTCTGGCCAAGCTTGTCTGAGTGTGTTATGCCTGTCGGTGAGCTCGAAGCTCTGTGGCGAGGGTTCATCCGGCAAGGTCAAGAGACTTTGTGTATTGGCCGATTACTATCGGGAGGGTTTTACGCGACGGCTTATTGTTGCCTCTTTGCACGACTGGGAGTGCTTACATTGCATCCCTTTTATTCTTCCAACCGAGTGTTGAACACTCGGTGACCTCGTAAAAGGCTTACCCGTGCCTGGTACCCTACCGCTGTTGGGACGACGAGGATTCATAACACATACTAGCTTTGCTCGTGCTAGTAGCGTGTTCTTATTTTTACTGGTTGGCCTATGTAAGTAGTTTACAAGGTTCAGATTGTCCCGGTGCAAGGGCAGAACTGGGGTCTTCAGGTCCGCCCAAACGATCGTTTACTATCCTAGTAGACGTATTGTTGTGGGAACGTCCTAACTACATTTGTAGCTAGAAATCACGTGGGAATTCCAACACCACACAACTGCTTCGCCACAGGAAGCATAAAGGTCGCTGCTTGTGCTTTGTCTCCGTTCTGCTCGCCACGGGCTTGCTCTACTACTGGCATGCCAGGTTGGCAAATTGTGACAGGGCGGGCCATTCGGACCCGCATGGTTGTCGAAGGTGCGGTTTTTTATTTGGGTCGTCTTCGCTGCGCTCAGCAGCCGGTGGAATTTTAAAATGTGTTTCGTCCAATGATTTGTCTGGGAAAGCGACAGACACGTTGCTGCACATTAGTACCTTATAATTGGTTTAGTGCTCTATAGGAGGCTTAGTACGAGCAATGCATGAAGGAGGTAGGAATCTGCTAAGCATCTAACTCACTCTCAGATTTCCATTTATCTTCTCACATCGACTACAAGCCTCGTTCGCATACTCTCAATTTTTGGTGGCGTACCTCGACAGAAACGGCGTCATGGCGGGAAGGGGGAATTGCATATTTGCAATCGCGCAGATTGCTGGGCTCTGTGGTGTTGGAAATCCCACGTGAACTCTGGCTACAAATGAAGTTAGGAATGTCCCACAACAATACGTCTGCTAGGATAGCTAATGATCGTTCGGGCGGATCTGAAGTCCCTTGTTCTGCCCTTGCACCAGGACAGACTGAACCTTGTAAGCTACTTATATAGGGCAACCAAGAAAAATAAGAACACGCTACTAGCATGAGCAAAGCTAATAGGTGTTACGAACCCTCGTGGTCCCAGCAATGGAAGGGTGCCAGGCACGGGTAAGTCTTTTACGAGGGCACCAAGTGTCCAACACTCGGTTGGGAGAATAAAAAAGAGGTAATAAAAGCACTCCCAGTCGTGCAAATAGGCAACAATAAGCGGCCACATAAACCTTTCGATAGTAATCGGTCAATACACATACAGTCGCTTAGCCTTGCCGGATGAACCCTCGCTACAGATCTTCGAGTTCACCGACAGATATACCACACTCAAGCAAGCTTGGCCAGACGCTTACCTTGAAGCCGGGCGTCGATCTGTGTGCTTGAGTGGAAATTCTGTTCTGTATTTATGCTCGCCCTCTCGGGCCTATTCCTAATAAGAAGTCCTAATCATGTTTACAAATATCAAGTGAACAATGATCCGTTATGGATCTTCTTGCACGCTAAGCGTCGTCTGGATCGTCGCATGCGCATCTTTAACAACCCTCGCCTTTTCCCAGACGGTGACCTTGTCCTCAAAGAGTCGCGGAGTCTTCCGCAAACTCATCCCAATCGCCACCGAGGATTCGTACCGTAGATGACCAGATCTTGGCCGCTGAATGCGAATCCACCCAGTCAATTATTAATAATAAAGACAGCCTGAATTGAGTGACTTATGGACCGCATCCAAGATCCGCTGAGGGTTCGGTAGTGACACCGTCGAGTCTCTTGCACCTTGGAGTCACTGTACATCAGGTGACCGAGTGTTCGTCGCTCGAGCATCCTCGACGGTGCCGCATCTTTGTTGACAGGCAAGCGATTATCCACAACTCTGGAGAAATCTCTACACCACAGCTCGGTATCCACTACTCCCAGCGTGCACGGAAGACGCGGAGACGGCCATTGTAACGGAGTTACACGGTGTGGGACACACAGGATAGTTTCGACAAAACTCTCAGTACATAAGTTGAAGAGCTAACAAGTCTCTCCGACAGGGCTTCCTAAAATACTATTTATACGGAGGGTCGTAGAAATAGAATGGTATCGTCAGGCAATGAATCATAAATACATTATGGTTATTCAGCGATCCGTAGTGGACATATTTCGGGCCAGTTTTCAGATATATATTTTTGAATGCCATCAATACCCATATCGACAAATTTCGGGCCAACTGTTTTTACTATGGAGTACCGTATATCTCATCTCATAGAGCTACGAATTTCACGATATGACCGTCTTGGGTCGACAGGACTGCTGTCGCCGAGTTCTTTCTTACCAGCCTGCCCCACTTCCTAGATGCTGTCTCCGCTCTCTATTTTGCTCGTTCTGCTGCCCGTGCTTCCTTTGCCTTTCGTTTCGGTATTAGAAACTTTGTATTACGGACTCTTTGAGTTAAACGTCTTCCTCAGACGCTAAAGCTACGGCAGCCCCGCTGCCCTTGGTAGCACTTGTAGTCAATCCCGCTCCTGAGTCGGTTGAGTGTATCCTCTGCGAGGAAGGAACACCCCGTGTTCACGAATTTGCCCCCCGGCGCAGGACGCACTTAACAAGCTTATGTCCTTGCTTGGCCCGGAGGGGGTGGCTCCCCTTGCATCGCAAGGTCCAGAAGCGGTCGCCGCCCGGATGGAGCCGTTGTCTCGATATGAGAGGAGGTCGAGATAACCATATGATCGGTCTTGCTCTAGTCTGAGCAGCAATGCGTGACATTTGCCATTCCCAAGCTTGGAGATCGCGCTCGCGAGTGGAAAATTATGTGCGGTTAGTCTGTGGACGCTGCGTTCCCCACCCGGGCGCTGTTGAGACAACGGTTGTCGCGCGTGTTTGCGCCGCCTAACCAGGCACACCGTGTTCGGTCGAAGTTCCTTTCCACCCAACAGGGCAAGAAGGAGCTGCTGGACTATGTTTAAGAGCTGAGAACTCTGCTCGCCGAAATGACGGCGGGACCTCCATCTGAGTTGGTCACAGCTACCGTCTTCATGGAAGGGCTTCGCGTGGGCGTATCCCGAACAGAAGTGTTCCGAGTACACTCTACGTCTTTTGAAGAGACGGT